TGAGAATGAGAAGTTTGTTGGGAGAAGACCCCAGTGTGAGCACCACGAGAGGAGAGAGGGGCAATGGAAAGAGATGTGAGGAGGTAGGGTTACTATGCAATCTGCGTCTCAGCTTCATTGCCTGTGCTTCATGCCCAGGGTTTCTTCCAACATCTCAATACTATCTCTTGGACACAAAGAAGTTGCTGCCTTCCACTGGCTCTCTGTCCTGTTTTACTCTTCTTTCGTGAAAGGTTACAGAAGCACGATTGAAATCCAAAACTTTCACTTCCCAAATTTCCAGACCTATACCTTAGTTGTTGATTCTGTGGGTGTGTTGTTATGGGGGGGGGGGGGGATCTTGAAATATACCCAGTGGGGATGGGATTGTTTTCCCCAAATTCTAAAACAATTCCCCGAGCATTTTATAGGAAAATGTTTTATTTTCATAAAATTCTAACACTCAACCAATTTTATGACTTTTTTCAATTGTTTACAACTTTCCACTTATGTTCAACTAAGACTCATATCCAAGCAAAAAAAAAATCAAAAAAAATCTATATACCAGAGCAATATTGTGTATGTGAGCAGTGAGAGCAGGGAATAAAGGTTCAAAAACTAACTAAGACCAAAGCAGTAGCTACTGGATATGTTTTATCTTTATGACAAGAGAAAAAAAAAAACACTATAAACTATCTCTCAATTGTATCCTTCCTTAGATAACTACTGGGTTCCCTGAAATATTATGGCAGGGACAGCACCAGGGGTGCTGAAAGGAGTTTGGGATCCCTGGATGCTCTCTCTTTCTTGGCTACATAATGAAAGCAGAGCTCATTGAGAAATTTCGCCAAAACTCACTCCTTCAACAAACATTTACCAAATCCCTAGACATGTTTCTCACAGATGACTCATTTCCGTGGAAGTAAGGCAGCATTGGTGCTCTGATACTCCAGAAATAATCTCTAGTGGTCCCTGTGACAAGAAATAGGACACCTTCTTCAGGTCAGAGAACACCTAGTTCGCTCATTCATTCTCTGGTCTCCTATAATGCACCAGAACACATGCTAGCTGTTCCAGTTACAAGAGTAAAATTGGGCATGGTTTCCACTTACAAGCAGCTTCAGGCTAATAGAAATATGCTAATAAGATAATCCCATGAATGAGAGTACCATTAAAATTGAGATAAGGACTATGAAAGGAAGAAAGACTCCTCCCTGGGAGGCAAGAGGTAGAAATGTTATGAGCTTGACTTAAACAGGCTGTGCGAGATAACATTGAGACATCAAGGGAGATTTCAAGTAAGCAGCTGTATGTGTGGATCTGGAGCTCAGGGAGCAGTCTGGATAGAAAAAAAAAAAAAATTCTCAGATAAACAAAACCTGAAAGAATTTACCAACACCAGACCAGCTCTCCAAGAAGTGCTGACGAGAGTGCTATACCAGGAAAACTAAAGTCTGACACACAGAAGTAAGAGTACAAAAAACAACCAAGAAAATGACCAGCCTAATGGAAAGGATGAGTCCGAAGTTGAATGTTAACTTGCAGAGTTTAAATGGAAAGATCAGACCATAGTAACACCGCAAATTCAATAGAAGAGAGTTTAATTACATGAGGCTGAACTGGTGGAACAGAATTTTATGACTTTTGTCTAAAACATTATTGATTTTCTTCTATGCTTTGTTTTCCATACTTAAGGATTTTTTCTTCTCTCTTTTTTTCCTTTTTCCCCCCTCTCTTTTTATTTACTTAATTATTTAAATTTAAATTTATTTATTTACATTCATTTACAGTATACAAAATGAAATTTTCCATCCAAAGTACACTGTATATTGGCTCAATCAAGCACATCAACCTACATGTTATCATCAACAAATAATTTTCCATTTCTTGTTTCCTGTACGTTTTGCTTTTTTTTCCCATCCTTGATTCCCTATCACTTACCCTCTGCCATCTCCCACTCTCCTTCCACACTGTCTCTGGTATCTATGTTTGCTTTCTATACTTTTTTCCCCCCATATTTTATTGAGTCACTTAAAGATCTTAATTAATTTAAATATTTTCATAGCAAGCACAGCTGATATATACATTTCCATGAACACAAGTCCAACTTTAGGCATAAGCCTCAGTGAGTAGAATGAACATTCTATAAAGTAGCACCTAGCTGGGGCTATATATCTTACTGCAGTCATCGAATGGGTATTTTAATGCACTTTTTTTAATTTCAAGAAAAACAGTTTTAGTGTTTTTTTTCTGAACCTTTTTCTTTTTTTTTTTAACTTAATTTACATCCATTCCCTAAGCATGTCACAGCATACAAAATGTGATTTCCCATCCTGAATATACTGCATAGTGGCTTAAGCATGCATGTTATTATCAAAAATGTTCCATTTCTAGTTTCCAGTATATTTTTTTACCCCTATTTCTGACCCTCTGTCCTTTCCCACCCTCTTCTCACACT